TTGGAATTTATTTGACACAGACCACTGGAATGGTAATGTACCATACTTTGATCAATAGTCCATCTAGTCTTTGAAAATTTGGATTGATAAGGTTTTGCTGCAGCTAAAACCTGTAACGTTTTGCATGAAACCTAAAGTAACCCAAAAGGAGTGGAGATATACAATTTCTTTCTGGGTTCTTACCCTGTGTGGGTAGTGTTTTCATTAATAATGTATTGAGTTTGGAAAATGTGTTTTTTAAATTTTTGTTTCAATTATAACCCTTTTTTGCTTGTCCATCCATCACTTTCCATTCATTTGTCTTTCCCGTTCCTTTCTCCATCAATCCATATGTCCATCCACCCACCCTTCTGTCCCTCTGTCCACCTATCCATCCGTTCGGCTTTAATCCACTCATTCCTTTTTCTTCGATCCAGCCATCCATAGCTCTATCTATCCACGCATCTACTGTAGCTGCAAGCAAGTTTCATATTTGAAGAATGACCACTGTATATATTAACTGCTGAACTTCTGTATTTTTTCTTTGATTGTGGAATCAGAAGATTTCTGCTTTTTTTTTTTATCTAGGAACCCTGCAAAGTCCAACTTAACAACAGATAAACGTCTATTTCCTGTTTTCTGCTTCTTTACCCGCTCTGTTCTCATTCCTTTAATCCTTCTTGCTTTAATCCCCTCTGTCTCTCTCCTCCCTTTCTCCATGGACCTCTCGCCGTCTTCCCCCTCTGTCCTCCCTAGCTGAAATAATGAGAATGTACCAGGGAACAGTGTGGTGACGGACCGATCGATGATCTTTGCTCCAGCAGGCAGAGATGGGAGAGAAGGAGGGAGGGTTGGAGAAATGGGAAAGGGAGAAAGATGAGGATAAAAATCTGCAGATGGTCAGGGAGCAGAGAAAAATGGAGCAGAGTGGGTGTGCTTTTTGGAATTGTTAGATGCATCACAAGTTTTAGGGAAACATATCCAAAGCCAGGATTCTATATTAATTGGATTCTATTCTTCAAGAAAAAATGCTTGATACACTGAAGTGCTTTATGCAGTTTGACTTTGATTAACTTTGTTGTTTTCATATTTGAAAAAAAGTCAACAAAAAATATTGCAGTTTGTTTGAGAAACAGTAAATATGCCACTTTGACTCCCGTCTATGACCGATCTACCCGATGATTCAACAATATCTGGTTATCAGTCTTAAATGTTAAGACCTCAGCAGATGTTTTCTCAAATGAATAATCTTGTGTGTAAATCATTCCGAGCAAATCACAAATAATTTGACAAGTAAAATTCTAATAAATGTAAAGGAAACTACGGATGACTTAAACTTTTCAGCAGTATTAGCCTCCTTCTACCACACATCTTTACCCTCTGAAATACAGAGTAAAAGCCATGGGACCTTTTTGAAAAAGTAACTAAATCACTTATAAACCAGAATAGATCAAATCAGTCTCTTTACTGCTAACATTAAACTTGTGTCTTTCATAATTAAAACCATTTCTAATGTCAAGCTTAGTTTTGGTAGAGAATGCCTTTCAGGGTGTTTTTATGAGACCTAAACTCAGATATACATTAGTTCAGTATAATTAAAAATTTTACTAAACTAACTGTTAAGAAAGAACCACGAGAAAATACCCAATAATCTTTGGGTGTTTTAAAGGGGTGATAGAATGATTCTATAGGGTATTTGGTGCTGGTCCTTAAGGCCTCTGAATAGGGTGTGTAACACTGGTTGAGCTGAAAATGGCATATTTGCTGTTCTATGAGCCCTAATGCAAGCCTGGTTAAGAGCCCTAGAATTAGACGACGTTTTCTTCCTGTTATGGTATACTAATGAATATTTAGTTGAGCTGTACTGATTGTTTGAATCAGTACAGCCTACTGTAAACAAACAGCCTGTCGGTAAAATGGTGAATACGTCCTTCTTAAAAATGAATGAGTGTAGAGCCTCTTCAACGAAACGTCAGCAGGAAGACTGACCAAAACCAAAACTGATCCAAGCAGGAAGTTAGCAGGAAGACTGACCAAAACTGATTCCAAAGCTGAGTCAAACCAGAACTGTTCAATAGTTGTTGCCATCTTCCTTGTTGTTTTTTCTCCAGCGTTGCGCAGCTTTGTCGTCCCGCCCTCAAAACCCCGCCCGCTTTGCATCCAAAACTTCAATTTGTGATTGGCCCGCCGGTTCTAGGGCCTGGGGCATTGATCGAGGCTGGACCAAACTCACAGTCAAAAATGACTTTGGCCGCTGGTGGTTGGGCTGAAATTGGCATATTTGCTGTTCTATGAGCCCTAATGCAAGCCTGGTTAAGAGCCCTAGAATAAGACGACGTTTTCTTCCTTCTATGGTATGCTCATGAATATTTAGTTGAGCTGTACTGATTGGTTGGTTTACAACGAGAGAAGCTGCTGAGCAAAGACGCATCATAGCAACAAGCACTCACTCATTGAAACATCAAATTGTTGACCGGGATTTTGGTCAACTACGTGCTGCACTGTAGTCAAAAAAGGGAGATGGCTGGGGACGGAGTGGCCAAACCCGACCCGGTGACTGTAGCCTTGACAACGGCGTTGCCCGTGCTTCTCCCCCTTCCTGCAGCAGTCCCAGCAGTCCCCCTTCTCTGTGCAACCTGGAACACTGCATTTACGATAGTTAACCAGTGGGCTGGTCTGTATGTCAATTTCGAGGCGGGACAAAAGTACAGGCCAGAACCAAATAAGGCAACATCCCCAAATTGACGTCAATTCGCTGCTTCGTTTCAATTCGCCTATTTTATTGTGAAAGTTAAGAAGATTTTATGACCTGGATTTTTATTTTAGATTTTTTTTTAATGAGATTTGCAGAGAAAGTAGGTGTTGATGGGATTTGAACCTGTATGTTCATTTCACCCACTGAACTATTGTTATTCATCTATGACATCAGGCTGCCACTGTGCTGTGATTCCAAGCCTTATGCCCTCACCACTAGGTCACCACTCCCCCATTTCCAGAATTGGAGCCATGTTGGAAATTAGAAAATATTAAACGCCCTTAGAAGAAAGATTAGAGGAAAAACTCTTTTCCTCTAGGAAGGAAAAATTATAAACTCTCATAATGAAAAATGTTGCATATAAATGTTGCATAGAGTATGTTAAATGTACAGAGGTATTTAGTATGTGGTGTGTGCATAAAGTGTAGCTATGCTAGTTCAGTCTAAAGAGATAAGAGTGTTTGACGGTGATTGCTTTCACAGCACAGATGAAGTTGTTTTTAAGATTTTTTATTGTTGATTTAATGTTGCTGTACTGTTTTCTTGATAGAAAACAGTACAGCAACACATTGTCTGGATGACAAAACTTTGTGGCAATGCGTCTATGTCTCTTTTTCTGATATAAGTCCTTCTGTCACATGCGACTGCCATATCAGACTGTAAAGAGGAGGCCCGAGTTACTTTCAGTTGTGGTCCTGTAGAAGTTTGCAAGTAGGTGAGTGGAGAGTCCTGATTAGAAAGAAGAGGCTTTGTTGGGTGTTCTTCACCAGGTGGGAAGTGTTATCTCAGTATCGGGGAGATCAAAGGAAATGTGAATGCCTGCCCTTGTATGCAGACAGGAGGATTTTCAGTTTTCTGAACCTTTTTAAGTCCACTATGACATCTTTGATCTTGCTGGTTTTCAGAATAAGGTTCTTCCTGGAGACTTCCCCCTTGTAGTCGTCAGAAATGTCAGAAATGAGACCTACCACACTGGTTTCATCAAAAGACTTCACAACCATCATTGTTGGGTGGATACAGTACCAGAGCATCTGAGGTAAAGAGATGGAAGCAGGTGTGCTTGAGAACAGAACCTTAAAGCATGCCAGAGTTGAGAAACAGTTGGGTCGATGGATCCGGTTGGTGATGGAGTTACTGATCCAGGAGCAAAGTGGTGCAGATAAACCCAGGCTGTGAGGCTTCAGGCAGCATCTCCAGTGGGATGGAGCTGGAGGATGAGCTGAAGTCCACAAATAGCATGCTAACATAGGTGTAAGGATGCTGCAGATGAGTCAGAGCTGTGTGAAACGCTAATTAGACGGCATCCTCTGCGAAACGATTCTCCCTGTAAGCGAACTGCAGGCCAGCAGGTCATAATGCAGAGGTTCTGCTTTGAAATAGCACAGTTATAAAATGAAGATAAAAAAAGAATTTCTAAAATATCTATATTAAACAACATAAGTGATGGTAATGAAGTATATTTATTTCCATAAAAATGGGTCCTTTTGTATTTTAAACATCAGAATAACATTTTACACTCTGGTTGGCCACAGCCCAGCAATTTTACCTGGTTAAAAAAAAGCTCTTATCTGCAGTTGTAGCTTTTTATTGGAGATTAGACCAATTATTATATGAATCCAGTTTCTTATTAGAGTAAAATAAAGTAAGTCGATCAAAGACTGGCTACCCAGTGGGGGTGTACAGTTTCCATAGTGCCTAATTAGATATATGTGTTACTTAACTTTCAAAAGACCAAGGTGAGAAATAAGCGTATGCTGGTATGAATTTCTCAGAATGTGGGTAAAAATAATACAGTTATTATGCTATAGAGTAAGATTAGGAGTCAAACAACTGTCATTTTTCTAGTTAATCACTTGAGCCGTCCACTCTTGTAGCTAGCCTTAAATCAGATGTTTTACTGATGTTGTTTTTGATATTTTTAGCCTACAGACACTAAAGACACAAAATCCATTTTCCTGGTAAATTAGAATATTGAATAAGAATGAAAAAGAATTAAATGATTGGGTATTCTTCAGTAAGTTACTCCAAGACTAATTACCGTAGTTACTCTTAAACTTGTAAATAAAGTAGCACCAGCTTTAAAAAATGTTTAAGAAAACTAAAATAATAACTATTTTAGCTCTAAATAAAGTCTAGATAGAAAGCTCCATCATATGATTAGTATTCTGTGTCGGTACACTGGTCTTCTGGGCCTGTCACAGGTATTTAAATAAAACTCCCATGCATGCATTGACAAGTTAATAAAAGGTTTTCCGGTTTGCTGCAGGTCTCCAGCACTGCCACCCTTGAGGGTAAAGGTCAGCTGAAGTTCACCTCTGGCAAATGGAGCCCGCACCACAACTGCAGCCAGCTCGCCACGGCCAACGACACCAGCATTCGAGGCTGGGATCTGCGCACTATGAGGTGAGATCCATTGCTAGAGGCTGGTCTGAATGATGGGGAAAATTCCATTAAAGCATTACACATGTGGCTCAGTTACTTTATTTCAAATACTTGAAATAAATAGTTGTAGATCTGTCTCTGAACATTAGTTTTTTTACAAAGTGTTTGGAATTGGCTCATGAAAAACACTACAGTTTGATTTAGAGGCTCAGCTGGTAAACATTTTAGAGCATCAGATTTTTAATTCCTTGCCACTCAGTGTTGAGGCACGGTTTCCTGCACAGGAACTGTCTGTTAGTCCCTGATTTAAAGCCAGTCGGATGTTTGAGCAGGACACTTTTAAATCTGACAGAAATGAGTCATGTAAGTTAGACTCTCAGAGCTTAATGGTTGCAGTGGGTATTTACATGACAGGATGTTTAAGAACTGTACACAGAAATATGTTTGGTTATACTCATCATGCTGATCATGTTTCAAAACACCTTTCTCTGTTATTCATTTGTATCAGGGTTTCCTCGGGTCATTAAAAGTCATTCAATTCTTACTTTATAAATGAAGGCCTTAATTGGCATTAAAATAATGGATTATGTGATTATCAATTAAATTTAAAATTCTTTATAAAAAAAAAAAACAATAAATGAAAACAATTTCGTAAGATCTATTGCTTGATGAGCTGCTTCCGGTTGATCTTGAAGAAGTATGTTCGGAAAATGCAAATTTCAACAAAAGTGGCTGGAAAACGAGGAATTCAGGACATGGCTGCAGTCTGTCTACAGTAAAGATGATGGAGGATTATATATATATATCCTCCACCATCTATATATATATGAGTCATGGTTACTTGTTGATGGCATTAAAATCATTTCTAAGAGCATTAAAAGAGCATTAAAAATCCTTAAATTAATCATCATTCCATTTAATCATTCCTGTATAAACCCTGTGCATTATTTTTACATAAGTGTTTATTTCTACCTGCTTTGTTTGATCTCTTTCTGAGGTTAAGATTCTAATTATTTAACAATAAATATGTTCCAGTTTAATTCAGGTGTTATGAATGCCACTCCATCTCTTTTCAAAACCAGTTATAAAGAATAAAAAAAAAAGCTCATATGAAGTATAGAGTTGTTTCGCTAATTCATTCAACAGTAAGGATAATAGCAGCATCGTTGACAAGAATGGTCTTAAATGCAATTTTTTTTACCATTAACAAAGTTTAGCAATAATATTTTCTGTAAGGACTCTTTTTGGGGTTTTTTTTGTTTTGTTTTTCCTTACTTTTAAGAGGCATTAATAGTGTTCTTATTAATCTTTTAATTTATGAGCCAGTGCCCTTCAAAACCCTTAATACAATTGGAAAAGAAATGTAAAAAGCATAAATAGAAATAGATTAATGACAATAGCACTATCTAAAATTGGAATAAAAGATTAAAAAAAAACTTTAGTTGAAGAAATAAAAAAAATACCACATTGATAAATAAGTGTTAGAAACTGTAGATTTATCTTCCACTGTACTTCTCCTTGTTAAAATATTAACTACTTGGTCCTGGACTGAAATCCTGTTAAATCAAAAGGTAAGTGAAACCATTTTTGTCAGTGAGTTTGAAAGACAAATGTATCTGTTCTTCAATTTTAAAAAATATAATTTTTTGGCATGGAAAACTTCCTGTTTCCCCGGAAACCTGTTAAGCTTTTTGAACAATAACATCCCAGTATTTGCTAAACGAGATCCGGGACTTCAGACTAATCAATTTTGAAAATCATCTCATGATTTTGTAGGCAAGATGAAGGATACCGAAGCTTCAAGTGGATTAGTCAAAATGTTCTTAGCCAAAGGAGAAAGAGGAGGAGAGGGACTTTTGGAGCAACAATAGCCCCTTTTCCATTGAAAGCCCTGGAATTTAAAGGCCCAGGATTTGTTTTACCAAAGAAATAAGAATCCCTGTGAAGCAAGCTGGTCCCATTACTGTTAAAGGCCCCGGGACTTTGATTTCATTCAGGATGAGAAAAACTGCACTTCACCTTAAGACCAGTGGGTGGCAGTAATAAAATCACATCACTTATCTTGTCTTTACTCCCAGTGTGGTGGAAAATTTTACTCCCTTCAACAGACACTCATTATTTTGTTGACAACTAGTGGTACTGCCTCTTAAGAGTTAGGCAGATGGATAATTTATTCCATGAAATGAAAGAAAAAGTTAAACATTTTTATTTTAATTCAATTTGCATACAACCTGCACTGGACCTGAGTTTAACTGTTTATTATTAATAGAATAAAAACAAATCTATAGCACATCTAGATAATGTTGATAGTCTTTTTTTTTTTTTTACCTTTAAGGGCCTATCAAGTAGATGTTGTGATGGAGTTTATGTCGGGACCTGAAAAAAAGGATTTCCAGCCATGATCTCTCCTTCTGCAGAGCTTCAGCAATAAACCATCTCATGAATAATGAGGGATTTACAACCATATGTCCCCAATAGAGCATAGTTGTTGATAAAAAAAAAAAATTATTATGAAATTTCTCTAATATCTATTAATTACTCTTCAAAGTGCTCAAATTTCCCTTCTGCCCATCTCCAGAGAACTGAATGAATGCATTGTTCAGCAACCTTATTTTTTACCACAAAAAAAAAAAAAAAAGTTTTTTCAAGGCTAAATTCTGAAATTGTAACTTCAATCGTATACTTAGTGGTTTAATTTCTTTGTATAGGTTAATAACTTTGTTTATAGACATCAATCAATCAATCTATCGTCTATACCTCCTATATTTGAAGCAGTGGATAAATATAATATTGCAGTGACAAATAAGGTTTTTTTTTTTTTTTTAAATCAAGCATTTTTATAAGCGATATAAGATGAGACTATATTGTATATTTTGAAATGTTCCATTTTGTTTTATAATTATTTATGTTTGTAGGTTATTTTTCTGCCATCTTTTTTTTTTCATTTGTGTGACTTTTAGAGCAAAGCTTTTAAGCCTTTCTTTATGTACTTTATGAAAAGAAAAAAAAACATAAATATAGTGACTCATCACTCAAATTAAGAATAATAAGATAGGTTTAAGATTTTTGTCCACATAGCCCAGCCTTACTCACAAGACAGACCACAAATAATGCGTAAACTTACACCAAACGGCACTGGGAGAACATGCAAAACGCTGGAATCCTTCTTGCTGCAAAGCAGCCATGATACCGACTGCACCATCGTGCACTGCTGACAACATCGTTTATGGATTTTCTCAATAGACTGGTGAAATTTGAGCATGTTAGGAATCTATGCTATAGAATGCAGTATAGTATGTGCAATATAATTTTTTTGTGTTTTTATTGCAAAGACTGATAGTTTATTGGTTTAAAATTTCTTTCTAGAAAAGAAGTATTGTTGCTTTTTTGTAAATGTATCCATGCATTAAATTTTTTTTGTTTTTTTTAGGTCATTAAAATGACAACAAAAAAAGTCTTTGTTGATATTATGACTTTTTGCTTAAACTGCATGGTTCATGAGCAGAAGAAAGTACTTTGTTTACCTCTGCACACAATGAAGCGGGAGTGTTGGGACTGTGATGCTCCTGCTTGACATGGAGCATGTGTACTACCACACATTAACCTTGTAACTGCAGGTTATCAGCGCTGCACCTCACCGCCCCTTGTTCTGTACCTATATTGCAAGTGTGTGCTTTGTTTGTGTGTTGTGCGTTTCTTTAGTTACTTGATGAGGGAGGTCAGCGTGTGTGTACGTGTGGGCTGTGCTAGAAGAATAATAATCACCTCGCTATTGATCGTCATGATAACAGCAAAGTGCCGAAGAGATTGAGAGGGGAGCTGCGTAGAGGGGGGGCGAGAAAGTGAGAATGTATTTACAAGATGCGTATCACAGGGCCAGATAAGATAGTTGAATCATTGATTTCACTCCCCGTCAGCCCCATAACAAATTAAAGAGTTCCTGCACACTCCATTTTGGCTGCTTTCCTCCTGCTGTGCTGCTTTGAAAGATGCAACAGGGCTGATTTAACCATTTGCTCTGCGGGGAAGTATAGGTGGGGTTTAACCCTTGTTAGACTCTAGGCTCAAACATTTCAATTATTTTCCAAAGAGACCGCTAGAGGGCGCAACTTCAGATTCCCTCTGTATTCTATGTATTCTATGTCTTACATATTTTTAAATTTGTAAGACCTTAAGTGCCATAAAAAAAATTTTCAACAAAGTTCAATATAAAAGAAAATATATCATGTTTTTATTAAACAAATAAGCTGAGATAGTATCTATACTGAAAGAAATCATAGAAATCTAATGGTAATCATGACGCCAATGTTTGGTTTTACAGAGTTTCCGCGGGTCATTAAAATTCATTGAATTATTATTTTTCAAATTAAGGCCTTAATTGACATTGAAAGTCATTAAATTTGACTATCATGGCATTTAAAATGCTTTGATTAAAAAAAAAAAAAAAAAACTTTTATAAAAGCAATTTCATCAGCTATATTATATGAGATATAACTGGTTCTGTGTGTTTGCGCTGATGTGCTTCCGGTTAATCATAAAGTCATATGTTCGGAAAAAGAAGCTGGAGGAGAAAAAGCTAGAAAATGGGAAAATAATTGGCTGAAAAACGAGAAATTCGGGACATGGCTACAACCAGTCGATGGTAAAGATGACAAAGGACAAAGGACAAGAGAATTAAAAGAGCATTAAAAAGCATTAAATTAGAGTTCCTCATTCCTGTATAAACCCAGTTTTATTTGGATTTTAAAAAGCTTTTTTACAGCTATGATAGATATACTGTGACAAAAAATATTTGCACTTTCTTTGTTGATAAATAATATGAATTACCTTTAAATCTCTGTTAATTTGTTGCCCTTTGTTAACAATGTTTATATCAATCTATATGCCTTCAATCAGATGAAAAGGCACACGGCTGATTCATTGAACATCAGTATCGGGTTGATATCGGCTGAAACACTCCACTTATGTATTGGTTTCGGATTGGTTTGGTAGGTATAGATCAGGGGTCACTAAAAAACAAA